TAGTTTATCATCCTGGCATTTTGATAACTAATTTGATATAAGACTCTGTCTCCTTCATCTTCTTTACTTTTTTTTGGCAGGACACGGCTTGATTTCTGGTTATCAGACTACTTCTGAAAGTCCATCCAATACATTTTCCAATTCATCACTTTCTTTGCTATTGACAGGGAATGTTGTCCCAATAATTAGTGTTTTCTGCTGGGCTTCTGCAATCAATTTCTGTGATTCATCTCTTCCATAAAGCTTACAAACAATAAACTGTATTAATAAAAATGCTTTCCCTAATTAAAAAACAAACTTTAATGTACAATTTTTCTGCTGTCATCATCAATTCTCTCTAAGCCTTTTGTTTCTCGACTGCTCTGCCTGTCTCCCATTTATCTTCCTTTATCTAATCTAATGGCACCTATCCAGTTTCTATTCACTTTTCATCAAGGTGATATATTTCCTCTTGCATAGTACCTTTGTGTTCTTAACATGCCTCATGGCAGAAGTAATTTTTCAGTTGTTTAATGTTTATTCTACATTGTTGTCAAATAATGAATAATTATTACAAACCTCCTGGCAGGGAAATATGCTAGAAAGGAAAGAAAGGAAACTAAAATTTGACCGTTTTGTAAAGTTAGGACTTTGAAAATCTTAAAATAGCTTTGATTTTTACTTCTCTCATCCATCTCTATCATTCGCACGTTAGTAGGACAGCAGCATAAGAATAACTGCATCTGGGTTTCATATTCCATTCCAGAAGCTCAGGGATAGCTCATGGATAGCATTCTGGAAGCATCATGGGTAGGCTGAATTAGAAAGACTCAGTACCATTTCATCATTTTTCGATGTCTATTTTCTATTCATTTCACCATTTAAAAAATCATTTTTGTAATCTGAATGCCCATTAACTTCTTTAGACTATTATCTACCGTTACTGTTTATTCATCTCAAATGTGTACTCCTTTTGGTGCAACTTTGACTACACTGAAGTGTCAATAGGAAAAAATTTCTGGTGAGGCCTGGATTTCATCTTTGATTCCTTGATTTTGGTAATCCTTGATTTATACTTCCACTTCTTGGCCTCCAAAACATCATTTTCTTTTCTTGATCTGTATTTCCTTCTATGTTTTCTGAGGTCCTTGTGTGTGCATAAGAACCTACTCTGTGTTGGCTGTTCCATCTGGAGGATGGTTTGCAGTGACATTTACAGTTTTTTCTCTTTGGTTGAAACACAAATCTAAATACATATTTGCTTTTTTTCAATTAAGTTTGGTGTTATAAAAAAGAATTCTGTGTACTCTATCTGGTTGTGAAATATGCAATCATACTTGAAGGTTATTTTTCTCTGTAAGCAAACATTCAAAATAAAGCAATACCTTTGAATATTATAAGCCATTCCCATTTCACTAAAAAGGAAGCTAATTCTGAGCCTCAGATGTAACTGCAGCAGCAGCCTTTCAGAAGGGCCCTGTGATGTGCTGCTGAAAGGATGTGATTTATTATATTTTTTCATTGCTATACTTATACACATATTATAACTGCATAAAAATGCAGTAACAGAATGTACATAGGGTTATTTGTCTATGCATTTGCACGTACAACTGTGCTTAGTGCACACACATATATAGGTTAGTATTTATATGCATAGTACTGCACAGAATGCCAAAAATTTGACCTTAGACATCAGATTGGTAACTGTTTCACTTCAGGCCTTTCCGATTAAACATCCAGCTGTTGTGGGGAGACTCTGTAGCTGAGAATTTGCACAGTTTTTCCACCCCACCCTCTCCCTCGTTTTCTCAGAGCTGAGGGAGCGTGCAAAGCACCAGGAGGCACTCTGCTTTCCTCCTGGCAGAGTCCCGCTCCCGCCGCGTCGGTGGGAAGTGCTGGCTCTGGGGATAACGACAGGCAAGGGAATTCGTGTTTTTGTCAAGGTGCGTCACGGATGTGCGATGTGACATGCCCCCTCTTTCTCCAGAATTTCATTCCAAAGAGAATGGTAATTAACATGGAAGAGGGGAAAGTGCTAGCACAGCAGTTTTGCTACCTGGAGTAGTTCACAAAAGGTTGTATCGCATCCTGGGGTGGTTTTGCCAGCGTCATACGACTGAAAGGAAAACATTGACATTTGGACTCGTCTGATGTTCTCCGGCTGTATTTGTGGTCTTTACTTGCCTGCCTTTATTTTTTACTGTCTGAAGAAGAAGGGAGACTATGTTTGGTTTAAATTCTGAAAACCATAAAAATATTAGCTAGCTGTGGGTCATAATGGTTACGTTTTGAAGAACCAGATATGAGGATTTTGTTTCTTCAGCCTGTATCAGAATCAGATGAGAAAGAGTTGCAAGACATCTAAGCATGGTCCTGTCTGCAGACTACATGCAAATACAAATGAAACCTCCCTACTATACAGACACTCTTAGCATTTCAAGTGCTACGGGAAAGTCACACGAGCCTTGATTCTGCAGCAGAATTTGCTGCCGAATCCTTTGGTTACACAAGGACACCACAGAGCTCAAACTTCTGATATTGTTAATTGTATACTTAGGAATAAATGTCCCAGTCCTGTACATCTATGAAGTGATTCAATACCGTCTGACTTTTTGGTGAAATGTGCGCAGTTTTGGTGAGCATGAACTTCCTCGTTTTCCTGTAGTCTCCCTTGGTTTTTATAAAACCCGCTCACTGCTTCCCTGCTGATCGTTAGGCACCACCAACTGAAATTCATATGCAGCGACCCTTACAAGTGCTTGAATGTTTGGCAGAATTAGGGCACGACCTTGAGAAATAATGGGGTTTTTTTACTCCATTCGAAATCTGAAATCAGCAGGATCTGTTGGTGCCCCACACCTCTAAAAATAAGATTGTTACATCTGTAGTTCTAAGAAACGTGTATTTGGAGGTATCTGACAGAGGGCTGCCTATCTTGGGCTGAGAGGGTGTAGTATCTGACAGGGCTTTGGAAATTTAGGCACCGAGATGCGTGATGGCTCCACAGCACGCTGCTAGGCAGGCCTCACGGACAGGTTGGACGAAATCGGTGCGTTGAAGGAAGGGAAGTGGGCAGGCCTGCTCCGTGTCCTGAGCAGCCACGGCTTGGGCTTGGAGCAGATCCCCGCAGAGAATCAGCGCGGGCTGAGGGGGAGCCGCCTGCCCAAACCGTGCCCTCAGGGGCCGAGAAGGCGGGAAGGCTCTTCCAGGGTGCAGGACCACCGCCGGGAGGGCCGGTTTCCAGTACCTGGCCTTTTCTAGCTGTTGAAGAGGTGAGCAGAGAAAGGTGTTTCAGCTTTGTTCGGCAGGTCTGTGCCAGAGGCAGAGCAGCAGCACGCTCCCCGCCTCAGCCACGGCTGTCAGCGTCTTCTACAGGGCCCACATGGGGACCATTAGATCAGTGTTGGCGCTGATCACACTCTGGGCAGAACTTATTAAATTTATCATTAAAATGCCACTTTCATGTAGGTGACAGAATGGGGGTTATTTTGAGGCAAGCTGTGAGGGAGCAGTCCTCAGCAATGAGTAAAAATCAAACAGCCAAGCAATAAACCCTGCCACATCTGTGTGAGTTTGCCAGTGCGGGTCCCATGTCCCCTACCCTGCCAACTGTCCTGATTTCAGCTGGGATAGAGTTAATTTTCCTCCTAGTAGCTGGTATAGTGCTGTGTTTTGGATTTAGTATGAGAATCATGTTGATAACACACTGATGTTTTAGTTGTTGCTAAGTAGTGCTTACACTAAGTGAAGGACTTTTCAGCTTCTCGTGCTTTACCGACTGAGAAGGCTGGAGATGCGCAAGCGGCTGGGAGGGAGCACGGCCAGGACAGCTGACCCAAAGTGGCCAAATGGCTATGCCGTACTGTATGACGTCATGCCCAGTGTGTAACTGGGGGGAGTTGGCCAGGGCAGGGCCGCTGCTCAGGGACTGGCTGGGCATCGGTCAGCGGTGGTGAGCAATTGTGTTTCATTTGCATCACTTGTTTTTCTTGGGTTTTATTTCTCTCTCTTTTTGTTATTTTCCTTTTCATTACAAATTTTTATTATTGTCGTTGTTATTGGTATTATATTTTATTTCAATTATTAAACTCTTCTTATCTCAACCCACAAGTGTTCTCACTTTTAGTCTTCTGATTCTCTCCCCTGTCCCACCAGGGTGGGGAGGGGGAGTGAGGGAGCAGCTGTGTGTGTGGTGCTTAGTTGCCAGCTGGGGTTAAACCCTGACACCAGCAAGCCTATTTCTTTGTCTCCAGAGCTCTGCTGCAGCTCATCTTCCACAGAGGACGGTTCCTCTGTAGTGGAGCCAGAGAGCTTGGGATATTTCTGGCCTGACCATGGAGGGCCAGCACACCCGAGTGCCGAGCTAAATTCAATGGCGCTATACACCCCGAGGGAATTCCAGTTCCTATTTTGAAACTCCAAGGACAGGATCCTTGAATAAAGCTTGACTTGGTCATTACCCCTTTTGCAAAAGAGGACATCCAGATAAGTGCAATGGCATGTTACCATCCCTGGAGCGCTGACCCATGGGTGGACCACGCTGCTTCCAGGGGCAAGAGGAAGATGGCGGGTGGAGTTCTTGGAGAAGCCGAGGGGGTGCACCTGTGGAAAGGCTAATGGCGATTACATTTGCGTTATGCAGCAGCAGTTGCAGTTTTCCTCAAAATTGTCTCCTATCAGAG